GTTATCACAGCTTCATGATCCCCTCAATCCTTATCAGTTGTAAAATTTACAATATCGGACTCGAACTTTGCCCTTAAGAAAAGGTATTCAATGACTTCTTTCTCCTAGTCGATGCTTCCAACAGATTTTCCAAAAGAAAAACTCTACAGCCTCAACGGGAGACCAGTTTAGCGTACGATGTATTTGTAAGGCTGTTTACTAATTGTGATGGTACAGTGGGGTGTTGGTCTCGAAGTCTGGGCAGATGTGCTGTAGCAGCTTGAATAAGGTTAGGTCGCGTGAGCCTCTTGTGGCTAGTGTGGCTGATGCTTCAAATCAACGGAAGATCAAATTCAATTGGTTGCAGGTGCCATTACTACAAGAATTGAATACATCGTACGCTTCTTGTTACGGTACCATCGAATCCCTTCTAAATGCCATTCGATACTAGATACTCATATCACTTTGTAATCTACGTTTTGATTTACGTCTTGACCCAGTAGGAACTAGGACGGCGTCGAAATGCTATTGGAATTCGACTCTCGACCACTATACTCAAGATTGCGATTTCCTCTTCAGTCGATGCGATATGGTATAGGGGTTTTTCTGAGACGTTCAAGCCCAAATCGAGATTCTTGAAGTACGAGCTCTACAGGTGTTCACTACGTTTTTAGCTATCAGAGAATAGCTAATTATGGGCTCTGGGCCTTTCGAATCCGCCAACGCATCGTCATGATGATGGTACGATGTAGATTATCGGATGTTTCTTCGAGATTCAGGCTTTTGGTTCCGTCTATGCCTGCCAACCGAAGAGGCAAATTGCTGGTGACTCCGCCTTGAACTATGAATTGAACGATGGGTTTTTCGTTTGATTTTATGATTGTTCTAACCCCCAGGCAAGTGCTTAGGCTGCAGAGTTGGGTTTTACCCCATGATATCACGCTTGAACAGTCTTCAGAGTGGACAGCACGGCATACATGATTTTCTAAAACAGAAAAATTAGGGATCAATCCTGAATCTTTTCCCATCAGCCTCAAAAGGCAGTACATGCCAAGTACGACATGTGAGAACCACCTTGGGAAATTATAGCCGAATTGACATACGCGAGGAGATAGCAGATATTTAGAACCGAAAATCATGTCAAATTTCATGGTTCATCAATTCATTAGTCAATGATCTGAAGCACTGAGCCCCGCGAATATCTATCTCATCTGTTGATATGATCGTCATTCAAACTTCGACTGTCTTTCAAGCTTAAAATGACCACTTACAGCCTTGTCACTCGAGCAATCTTTACCCACTTGATCGTTCTAGTTCATTGAGTACACATCTGTACGGCGCGATTGCGTTGTCCACACACTTGGAAATCTCAGCTCATATGCTCCTATACACTCGCGCGCAACTCACGCCGCTCTTTGTCAACCGCCACGGGCATTGCTAGTGATGTTTGAAAGTTATCTCTCCTGACAGGCTTTAATCACTGCCTCTGGCGTATGTTCGTGGCAGAAGCTTCAAAACACGTACCGTGAATTGATTTTCCATAAAACTTCGGCGCTCACTGTGCCAAAATTTCATTTTCTGATACCGATCTTGCATTCAATCAGCGGTATTTGGAGTTCGTGTAAATCCAGGGAAAATCCTGCATGATTCATTTCATGTGTGGGTAGTTCCTAAATCCATGTTTAAAATCTTAAGTGATCAAAACAGTTGGTTTTACACATTTAATCATAACTTCGTAATCCCGAAACCATCACTCTTCTTTCCAACTGGCTTTTGGTAAATCAGGCTCAGAAAAGCATCGAAAGATGTCTCAGGTACCCACAGCCCAGGTGTTTGACAGCATCTAGTATACACGGAAGCTTCCAGCCTGGTGGGATTTAGTGTATTGACAAATCTGGTGTTAAAGATGAACCAGATGATCGACGCTTTCCAGGTTGTTCATTCTCAGCACGATGCGATATATCAATCGGGTTAGAAAATATTCACTTAAATACTAAGAATTTCGGATGTACTCTCCTGGCAAAGCATTCCCTTGGAATTCACGTCTAAATAATCTCGATACCTTGAAGATTGAATCGTTTTAGTGTACAACCAACTGCAAGTAAGTACCAAGATGAGGCGGAGATAATGTCTCGGAAGGCAACATCATCAATTTCAAATGATGCTGAGTCAATCCTAACTTTTTCCCAAGCTACCCATGGCAATCGAAGATGGCGCAGCGACAGATACCGTTGTTATGCTTCCTCTCCAATATGCGAAGAGTGCTCTGGGGTTGCTAGCTGTCGCTGCCCTTGAAGCCAGTTCAAAGGGTGTATCCAAGATACATATTACTATGATAGATTAGATCCCTCCTGGCTCAACGATGGGAATAACAATTACTCACGTCGAAGTCTTAGATCCGAGACAAACGATCTAAGACAAGAAGAGTCAATCAACTTTAGGCGAAGGAACCTTCAAAGTAGCACTAGTACTACATGCAGATCTGGTACAATCTAAAACTAAATCTACACAATTTCGAGATTGGGAGCATTCGAGGACATGAAAGAGCCGGAGACAACCGAAGCAAGAAAACTGTCTAAAAACATGCAACCTGACTTCAACTACCTAGGTACTTGATATCATACTGACACCTAGAGAGATCAAGTTGTACCGTTCAGATACACTGTGTACTACCATGAATCATGGAATTTTCAGAGTCGAAGATCCATGGCCAGAAAAGGATTTGGTGCCCCGCCAGAATGCTTCTGTCAGCTACTACTGATCTTCTGCGGGAAATACATTCAGATCGACCTACGTATTGGCTTCAACGCAACCGCTAGATGTATGCACCCGGAGAATCTATACATGATTTAGTGTAAATTTTAGATCTCCGAAAAAAATCCACTACATCTATCAAAGTAGATCACGAGTATGTTCATTACTCAGTTTGATCCTCTCAAATCACCAGCCCAGCAAACATACCGTATCTCTGTACAACGCTCAGTGGCACGAACTCAGATCCCCGATCTCAAAGTCTTCCGAAGTCTCCGCAAATTCCATCGACACGTGTTCCCACCTGATGCAGATTGCCGGCTTCGCACCTAACCGTCTCTACACATACGATAAACCTCGTGTTCATCTGCATCTGCACACAAAGAGCCTACAGAATCACGTTTAATTTCCTGAAGTTGCAAAGCATATGCAAGAGTGCGGATATAATACGCGAGTGTGTCTGTAGTCTCAGGTGTAGTTTACATAGATTCGCCGAGTGTGGCTTATCCAAGTAGATATGCCCAGGTACGAGGTATGCTGTGTACCTCCACATCCGAGACCCTAAACTCTTTTTGTTTGGTGTTTATCGCACTTTGAGAAGTGTTCCATGAAAAAGTTCTGATTGGTAATTACCTGAATGTCAAGTGCGAAGAAACCACCACTGGTGTACACATTTTCATCGAACTTTTCCTGTCCACTAGCTTTGATTATTCCCATATTATCCAGATGAATCAATTGCGAATACAAGGCCCAAAATTCTTTTATCTTTTTGGCTCTCCTTCATCACAAGCCAATATAGCCCTTCACTACATAATTTCCTATTAACAATTACCATTCTACCCCTCACCTATTTTCCTTAACCTTACTAGACCGTTTCACAACATTAAAACCACAGCACATCCCTCACACAGAATCTTCCTCTCCGATCCGATCGATCCCATTACATACATCAGAAAAATAAAGCTTTATCGCCTCTCCGTTTCTGCAGCTCATCATCCGGATATGCGCATGTTTACCAATGTATATACCGATATCCTCGAAACCCAACGTCACACGCACAGCTAAAACTGCATGTGCAGTGGTATTCAAATTGTGTACATATCAAGCATTTACTATCGTCATGATGGTATCTCCAACACGATGCCGTGTACGCATGTCAATATTATACTTATAATGCCTTCTCGATTTAATATGGGAATGTCACTCAAGTATCACAGAACCATGGCTCCTTGAAAAAGACTGGTCTCAGTCAGAATGTTCTTTTCTCAACTGGCTGGTCATGCTTGTACATTCAAGTGGTCATGGAACGTCAAAACAGATATCTATAAGTCCACCGATACGTATTCATTCGTGAACACACAGTATCTGGCAATGAAGAATCTGCACGATGATGCTATCTAGTATACATGTTATACTTCGATCATTTCCACCAATCGTGTCTATAAATCAGGAAATTCAGATATCTACTTGTACACAAATAACATTTCACTCACAGCCAAGTAATTGCAATGCATCTGACAAAATTTGCAGATATCTAGGTATCACTACACTGCGCTCTAACTCCCTGCCACTATCGTAGCCATACATTCTCACCATACCGCACAGCTTAGTGACTGAAGTGACGTAGTATCCAAGCCCAACCTGCAATCAACATGCACACGACCATCTTCATTTCCCCGAAGAAAAACAGCAGAATCCGACCAGCGTAGCGCATGCAGGTAGCAACCATATACGGTACCTACAACATATTAATAACTCTCCGTACGGAGTCCATTCTACAGAATTTGTATCACCCCCCTGCCATACCCTGCGCGTTCAAAATTCTCGATCTCCACCCCCCTCGCCCACACGTGATCATCGCCTATCTCATCACAACTATCACAACCATCCTAGCTTCTTAGCTTCACATGTTTGTTCACGGTCTTCTCAACAAGCAAGCTTGCATACCCATCCCAGTCGGCGAAATTGCATGTACGCCAGTGTCAAAGGAACTAGGTCCCGCCGCTTTGGTCCTGTCCCCCGAGTTTGGCTCCATTTTTGTACTCACGATGCGCACATCCCCCAACGCCTCAAAAGGATCGATCTGTGGCCCTGTCTCACATATGCTGACGATCGAGGCCAGTGAGTATAATCACCACCAAACAGATACCCACCCTACCATCCCATGCACAAAAACTTCAAACAAAACTCACAATACAACACGACACAGCACAATACAGCGCACAGCGCATAGTGCATACACAAAAATGTATGAGGCAGCGGAAAATTTGCAGGTATTATCTTAATTTCTTTCATTGCCGTCTTGTCTTGCTCTGTCCAATACTATCTCCTGATTTATCCCAGCCGATTTGATTGTAACTAGATTAAAAAATATTTGTACACTACCAAGAGCATCTACGATCCGTGGACCACTCATCTGACAAGCAATTAAGAGCTTAGGATCAGAGTTAGATCAGATCAGATTCAGATGCAAGATCAGCCGTCCCTTCCGTTCCCTTCTATCCAGCCATTTCTACATTGCGCCTCCGAACAACGTCCGCTGAGATGCATGCCTTTTTGCTGGATTTGGATCCTCCCCCCCTGCTACCAAATCTCACAATTCTTGAAGTATCCAAGCCAACCCAGCCTATTCCACAATGTGTATCCTTACTTGGCTTTGTTCCCGCCTCCACCGTAAGCCCAGCTCGATCCTGATAAATGTGCCTAGGTATCCACATGGTGATGACTCCCCTGGGAAGAAATCCAATAACAGAATGTGCGCATCTTCCAGAAACCGGGTGCCAAAAATCATATATTGTAGAAAAGAAAAGCAATAGGTATAAAAAAATGGTACAAAATGGTATAAAATGATATCCCAGCCCAAGTCCAGATCCCACGATCCGAGATATCCACATATTTCAGTGCTACTCAAAAATCCACATCTGGTAAGAGGGAATATAACAAAACGCCATCTTATGCAGATGCCAAACCAGAGTCTCAAAGCTCGTTGTTGTACCCATAGCCGTAGCTATCAAAATCAAACCAAAACGCCTGGAAGCAAATTTTCCTTATGCTTCTGCTACCAAAACTAAATAAAAGCCTTTCTTTGAAGTTGAGTACCAAAATGCCAAAATGCCCCTGGTATACGTGACCCTCGAACAAAGCCAATATGTGTTCTCTCCGCCCTGAAAGACGTGTAATTATGCGACTTTTCCTATTCCCGTGATCCTCCGATCAAAACTCTCCGTAACTCCATGATGAAGATCGCTAAAGATCTTCATGCTCTGTAACGCTGAATACTTTATACATTAAATTTGTGCTTTGGTGATATCTTTCACTTATAGGTACTGCTAAGAAGGTTATGACCGTGGTGAGTGATCTTCCGAAGATTTGGGGCGAAGTGATGATCCGGTTGAACCTTGTGACTGCTTCATCGTATTTTTGCGGGTAAGTTTCGCATAATGTAACCCACATGCGTTGCAAAGCGTACGGGCTCCATCTGGCCCCCTTCTCCATTCGGGAGTCTCCGCTCTGTTACAGCTGTGACATCTGCCTGGTGGAGCAGCGCGCTATCCAATTGTTAGAAACTTTCGTACAGGGCAAATTAAGTGAATACATACTCCTCGGCGTTTTTTATTATCCGGTCCACCAAAATTTTGATGGTGTCTATCGTCGCCATAGACGCTCTCATCATCGTAGTCAGTAGCTAATCTGGCACCGCGAGATTGCTCGTCGGCTGCATGCTGCTGCTGTACAACAGTATCCAACATGCGGTGAAGGCAAGATACAACTCGATTACCGTGAACCAACATCTCCTCAATGGCCCTGCGGTCGGGTGATCTTTCCGGGATTGCAATGTGAGAGCGTGGTTGTTCTTGACTTATTGCGTGGAAATGACGCGACCAATCCTGTAAAGCATTGCTAGAAACGTTGATCTTTGGTTCATTAAGTTAGCGAATTTGACTAAAATAAAAAGAATGGATGACAAACTTGAGCTAAATTATTATCCACGTCCCACACCTCAAGCTGTCGCTTTAAGCCCTGATTAAATGGCTCCGGTTGAGTCTTATAATTCTTAAACCCAGCACCGCCTAAATCCCTTTCATCCCGTGGTGGATAAGGTGGTTGAGGGTAACCTTGCCCATGAGGTGGAGGATGAGAAGGGTGAACCGGTTGCGCTGGAGCGTTTCCATATGGATGTTGATTGTGTAAAGGAGATGGTTGGCCATAGTCATTCATTGACCTCTCAACGAATCTTTCGCTGGCCCTGGGCTCCTGTTCATACCTAGGAGCCTCATATCTAGGCGGTGGGTATGAGTTTGCAGGTGGAGGTTGTGGAATCGAAGGATGTAACAATGATGGTCTCCTTGGCTCCGCAAAGCTCCTTGAATCTAAGTCTGGGCGTGAGAAAGGCGGCGGTTGAATAGGCATCGGAGGTGAAGGTTGCCGCGATCGAGATGACTGAAATCCTCCGCCCTGCTCATGTGTTCGTGGTGGTGGCAGCACTTGCGATTGTGCATAGGAACTCTGCGGATGCGATGGCGGTGCAGAGGCGGATACAGGCGAAGCATAAGGACCGGGCTTAGTAGAAGTGCTGCTCAGAGCTTCCTGTATCGATGGTAAAGATTGTCGATGAGTGTTGGTCTGCAACGGATGCGGGTGCGCTTTGTCATTCGACGTCCTCCGCGACTCTGGAGGAGATATCAAGCCGCTATGCGAAGTACTGGGCCATCCTGCGGAGTATGGTGCACCGTTTGGGTAGTGAGCAGACGCAGGACTGGCAATTGGTGGTGCAGCCATTGGATTTGATTGTATATATCTCGTGTCTGTATTTATGCGCTCGAAGTGTTCACGGTTCATGATGGAGAGGATGCCACTAATATTATATGAATGTCAGCTTGTGTTGTGTTGAACTTGCATTAGCTTGAAAAGAACGCAGTGGTCTGAATGAGAAAAGGAAAACTGACCTTGACCTACTGCCGCTTTCCGCACCCTCCATTGCAAGATCTGGGGAATATTTCGCTCGAATCTGAACAGATTAGATGCTTGGGAACATGCGTGGAATGATATCGTGCTCTTCCGGTTCCGACGTTTGTGCTACCGTAACACCTGTTCACCTAAGCATCTACGAATCTCCCTCAGCTCGAGTATTTCCGTGCTATTTCTTTGGTGTTGCTTGAGCACTGGCCGCAATGCAAATCGATGAGGATGAAGAGGCAGAACGACTAATTGGAGTGCGGCTGAAAGAAAGGATTTAAGCCTTCCAGATTGCTCTAGCTAAAATTTGACGACTGAGGATCGAATTATCAAAAGAAGTTGAATTTGTATTCTGCGGCTCGTGGCTATGTATATACACTCGATCGATTGCTGTCGACTGTCCCATCAAAGGTCTCAAAGTGAGGCAATCGATGCGTTACGTGAGTGGGCCTTTTCGCCAACCACAGATTTTTGTGTATGTAGTTTATTTTGAGCGGCGGAAATGGTGAGAACGTCCAGCAGATTCGTTCCAAGAATTTGAATTGAGCGCGGCTATCCCGATATATTTACTCGACCAGAATGAGGCTGAACTACACAGAGGGGAGATTGGAGGGGAAAAGCCCGTCTAATTCTAGTGAGACTTTTTTTCGATTTGAACCAGAAGTTTTCTGTAGCTATATAGAGGTTTAGAATTTAGATAAAAGCTCGACGTCCATAAACTGAAGGTGAAAAATAATCCAATTGACTCTGTGTCTGTGTTGATCGGATTGAATGTGAAAATTCCAAGTATGAGGATTGCAAGATCGCACGGTATGTTTCGTGAGCAAAGATTGAGATCAATGTTTCGATGATGTTGAAGGATGGAAGGAGTGAAGAAAGGAAGAAAGCAGTAGACTGTAGCTTGCTCTAACTTTTTGCTTGATTAGGGTCTCGCTCGGTGTAAAAGCTTGTGGAAGTGTGGAAGGAGGAACGAGGTACACAACAGGGCAGGTGAGCTTCTCGAAGTTTGGTAAGGCAAATGATAGGATAACTGTAGGAGTATAAGATAAGAAGCACAAAGGGTGGGAAGACAGCAAAGATAAAAAGAAACAAGTAAGAATGTAGATGGGAATAATAAGACAAGTTTGGTTGAGCTGCTGAATAAGAAATATTTAGTAAATTATGAGAAGAGTAGGACTAATTGTAGTTGTGGTCGTAGTTGAAGTTGTGACTAGAGGTAAAGTTAGTGGAGCGGGATGAGTGGGAGGAAGCGGCAGCATCGTGCTGTGCGACCTGCCAGCCTGCTAAGTTCTAACCTACTAACTTTTGATCGAGCGGATTCGAGCCGTCACTTGTCAAGCTAGCGATGGTTTGACCGTGAGATTCTTAGCCTTATAGAGCTAGTCAGCTAGTCGAAGGGAGGAGATCTTTTAGTTTCCGGTACTTTTACTTGGGTATAATTTCTTTTTTAGGTTCGACTATGAGATGGATAATGTCATGGCTAAATATCAATGATAATAATAATGGATCGAAGATTAGGAAGATACAGAGTCGTAGCTAAGGCAAACCCAAACCGTCGCCAAGGATCAAGGTAGTAGCGGCAAAGCAGGAAAGAATAAGGCACTATCGACAAGGGAGATGGGTGGGTGGTATGGATCATATCGATTCTCTTTTATTAGTATTGTGATTTGTTACAGGTAAAATCTGCCAGCTAGCACCAGCTAGCAGCAGCTAGTTGGAGAGAAAATCAGATCTATATCGAGTAGTATCTCGGACTACCATGGATGAGCTAGCCTTACAAATCTGCATCAATCTGTATCTAGATACAGATTAATCAACATCTAGGTTGAATCGCCGGTGGGTCGTTATTCAAAGTGGATGAACGATATGGCATCTAATAAAATCCGGATATCTTTGGACCAGACGAGGGGCAAGCTAATCTTGAGATTTGCGAGTTTACGATGAGCCAGCAGGGATTCTAAATAAGATACGTGGATGTGGCAGACTACATATCCTTGTATACGTTCACCATGGGTCGGCCCATATTGCTAAAATGGATCTCCAAAGTAATGGGTGACTGGAGGGTCTGGGAGAGAAAAAAGATAGATGGGAGGGGTTTATTTGTGGGTCGTGGGGTGGTCAAAATAGCAGAAGGTGATGAAACAAATCCAACTAGTAGGGGATTTGACATAGGGTATAGATGTCTCGAGGACGAAAATGATAATGGCTGCGAAAGTGTTTAGGGCTTACTGAGACCAAGAATATTAACAGTCACAAGAAGAGAGAATATTTAAGTTAATTAAATGTTCCATAGATTGGCTTCCATAGATTGACCCCATCCCATAGCCCCTTCATTCGTAGATTTTGCTCGCGTAGGACGAACAATCAATAGCCCTATAGAAAAATAAGTATCGTAGTGGAATCCAAGTATATTTCTCTCTAGTAACTTAATCGCCCTGTGATCATAATATAGATGATATAGAACAACGTCTTCATGGGGTAATAATGAATCTAGCCATAGTGCTTAAGACAAGAGTTTTCTCTGATGAAGTCCGATCTGATGTAGGCGAGGTAGGTCAATTTTTAGACCGGATTTGACGTTAAATCCAAAGTGATATATGTATACGCTACATACCTTAACTGTTCGCGATCAAGATCGCTTATTGTTATGACAACATCGGAGTAAATCCGTGGCGTTATCTCGTAGCTCAAGTTCAAGCATATCTACCTAACCAGATACTAGTGATACAGTACCTCCCTATCTTTATGGCACGAACCGTCGGGAACAAAATCAAATCTCCAGAGAAGTCCCCGTATCACATCGCCGAGATCATCACTAAGATCTGTACTTCAAGATCACATTCAGGGGCCGATCGCCAGTTTCATCATTACAAATACTGTACATATATGTCTTCACGTTGTTACCTATCATGAATCCCATTTTACTTGCGATAATCCCGTCGCCAGTTTAAAGTTTTCCGATCGTTACCAGCCTGCAACTCGCTACGAGTATTAAAATCTACAGTACAGACGGAATAGCCATTTATTCGTGGGTGGCCCCAGCAAATCACACTGGACTAATGCACCCTAGATCGGGACCCTGGATGATGCACTCATTTTTCTGTCTCACAATTACTTGGCTGTTCTTCGTGGCCATCTCTCGATGAGATAGAAGTCACGTAAGTATGATACCTACATCTGGTCATCGTACAGCAAGCAGTGCCGGTATTTTATATCGTTGGCATTGTTGCCTATCAAATTCCCAAATTCCTACACCTCCCACAGCTCCCACATCTCCTACTGCACCACGTGCAGTATCCAGATACGCGGCCACAAATTATGAGATCGTGTTACTTGGATTATAATGTACAGTGACTTTTTGCTGCTTGTCCCCACTTCGATACGTATCGTATTCTGTCGACCCTTTCGTGATTATCTTTACCTAATTATCCAGGAGGTAACCTCTGCATGATCCGTATCAAATGCTGACGGACAAATCACAAGTGCATGTTATTTATCCTCAATTTGCATATTGTACAACTTGTCATGCCTTTGTGCTACCAACTTCTCTTTCATCATAGATTCGGGTAGTCGCCATATCCTGCCGCAACCTGCCGCCTTCACCATTGCCATGGAACACGAACCCACCGGGGCCTTTGCCCACTTCGTTCAATCTTGTTCATCTTACCTTCTAATCTCACGGAAGCTGGAACGTTGAATCTTCTCCTCCACATGTATGTCTACAGAATAAAACCTTTGTTCTCGTGAATTCTGGATTCTCGATTGAGGAGCACATAGTGGCTCGTCCCCTTTAAGCCGAAATCCCCCCAAATCTCTTAGGTCTATTAATTGCAGAATAGAGGTCAATTTCTACAAGGCTACACGGCAGATCACTTCCATTTATGATGTTGCTAACTTCAATTTTTCCTTTACAGCCGTCAAGCTTTTCAGTGCTAATGGTCTCACGGAGAGCTTTGCTAAGAAAACGTCGGCTGATAGAAAAAAGGGATGAGGCCATGGGCCATAGCCTAGAATTCTCACTAAATCTGGAGGGCGAATGTGTGACATTCACTAATTAACTGCAGGTTCTAAGGTGCTATACTCGCATACTGCTACTTATTAACCTCAAAAATACTGATTGCTTCGATGAAACCTATCACGGCAGTCATAAGCTCATGCACTCATACACTAAGAAAAATTGTTCCCATAACACGTCGGCCATTTTGGGACTCGACACCAACAGTTCTTTCCCTTTGTTGGTATTCAAACCCTTGATGATACAGAGATTGCATTGAAGATCTTCCTAATTCAGACATCGGCATATTTTCACCCCTGATAGCTTGGGGCCACGGGTATCGTTGTGCTGCTGTCTAATAATCCCAATTCGTCGCATCGAGGTACTTTGCCGACGGAGATACTGCAAGTTTAGCCTCTTACGGTGCCCAAAAGATTCCCTTGCCAAGATGATCCAGAAGGATTTTCATTCAGCTTGTTGATCCAAAAGTTGGAAGTCAAACTTTATAGTTGTGCCGCAAAGAACCCAAAATGAAGTTTGAACTGTCGAAGTGTCCACATTTACGGAAAAACGTTGAACATTTCAGAGCTCGGATCCCTCCCAGAATTCCAGCAGAGTGTTGCTTCAGAATGTTGGATATTCTCCCTCTTCTCAAGCAATTTAAATCCTTGACGATACCTTCAGATCTCATTTCAGAACAGCCCTCAAACAGTTGAGAAATCTGGAGGGTTCCAGTAAATATCTTGACAGCTGCATGTTTCGGGATCCCACATCCAAGCGATCCGCTTCCATCCATCCATCTACAGTCTTCCCTCTTGAGTCTTGGCCAACACCATCATTACCTTACCGCCTGTGGGGATTTCAACGTCTACGCTCGCAGAATTCGATGCGCACGTATGTCTTTGGTGACTCGGTGAGCATGATATATATGGCTCTCTCTGTTGGCAAGCGAACCCTAGTGGCTTAGATCAAACGCTGCATCATCATAGAACATGAGCGAGCCATTAAACTACATCAAGACCAATGTTATGTCATAATTCTGGAACTATTTTCAACATTTCCAACATCATGCAAGACCTGAGACTTGAGACTGTCCCGATTTTTGATATAAAATAAAACAATAAGAAAACAGGATGCAATCATGTCTACAATCATGACTGCTCTGAAGATCGAAATCATATGAGGACTGCTATTACCAGGGGGGGGTTTAAAATGGGTGATGATCCTCCTGGTGACATATTCCCCGAACACGAACTGATCCCATCGGAATGATCCAAGATTCGAATAATCTTAGCAGAGATTTTAAGTTAGACCCATCCAGATCCAAGATTATGTCTTTCCAGAACAAGGAGGTTCATCATCGCCACGTGAAAATCATGGATAGGCCTTGCTACAAGCGCAACGGTTTTCTTCTCTTGAGTCTAATGGGATGATTGCTAGGATTCAGTATCTAGTATTTTTGTTTTAATAATAAGATATGTTCGATAGACGCACAATAATATTCACTGAGGACTTGCTTGGTACGACTTTGTCCTTCTCCTCGTTGATGAAGACAGCGGAGCAAACTTTCCTCGTTGAGCTTCACGATGCACAAAGGCCCCCTGATCATGCACATCGTTGCACATTTTCTTACACTTTCATTCGACTCCCCAAAATCTTACGGTCGCGCACACGCATCATTCATGGATGACAAGGCCACTGGATCGCCGATTAATAAATACCCTTGTGCCCCGTAGACAAAGATCTAAATCCTCCCCACCGTGTCGGATCCAGAAAAATTCACAGAAAAAGGATGATTAGTGCTTGTACTAACAACACGATGCGTACCTAAATTACACAGATTACGATGAGATTCTAGTCAAAATGTTAATATTCGCAGTAGTTTGGAGACTACGATAGAGGTAACTGTCAAAGAACCTTCCTCTCCACCTCTTAACTCAATACGGGCCTTCGAAACTCTTTCTTTTGTTTCCAAGGTAGTCTTTCGTTGATACCCAAATGCTGAATTTTATCCACTAAATCAAATGGTGGCTTAACCATAACTCAGGATAATAAATGGGGAAATCTCCTAGTCAAGTCAGCCACATTTATAGCTCGATCGATGTCTGCATCTCAAAACTTCCTCCGAGATGAACACACATGAAGCGTCTCATTTGGCAAAATTTAGACAAGGCGGACACCAAAGCCAGGAATGATATAGTGGATGCTTGGGCTCGGACGGGATCTTCGTCAGATATAACTTCTTATTGTATATTGGTGGGCCCCATCGAGGCTTCTAGCAAAGGGCTTTTGCCGTTTGCCCGTTTCAAACTGCCCCTTCACGTGGTCTTTCCCTGAATTTTTGAGTTCATTGAGTTGACAGTTGTTTCTCCCGTCACAGTAATTAGTCACAATTAAGCCCAATCAGTCTTAGGT